CCGGGATATTTACACAGCAAGGCTCCTGCCACTGAGGAGCTATGTGGAACATCAGGGTGTGTTTTTTCAGTTCTTTGGAGGAGCTTTTTTTACCCCCCCCAGCTATCTCCTTAGCTTGGTACGCGCTCACAATTGAGATGTGGATTTTCTAGTTAGAATTTTGAATAGGCCCCTGTGCTTTTGTAGAGGAGAGCAGTAAGTGTTTTATGTTACATCTTAATTATGTAAGACAAAAATAGCTGAAAAAGACCTGACGTAGTTTTAGTGACTGTTCAGGACAGCAACTGCTCACCCTCATGTTCTGTTTCTTTTTCCTCTTCGTTTCAGAGTTAGTCACCACAATGGATGATTACACAAAAGTAGAGAAGATTGGTGAAGGTAAGGGTGGAGCACAGTGAGCCTTGTAATGCTCCACAGTTTGAGTTATCAAGTGTCACAGAAGCTCTGTGCACTCTGGTTATTGAAGGAACCACTGGAATTCAGCTAACTGGCAAAATAAGCCTGTGGCTTACTGTGGTAGTTATCTCTATATGTAAAAGCTTTCAGCTTACCCTTTGGAAGATGACATGATCTCTTTGAAACATCAGATCAGTGTTGAAAGGCATCTGCCTATATATTGATGGTGTAATGTACCTCTGAGAGGGGGGGAAAAACATGTTCTGAGTCCTGAACCAGTTTTTCAGTTTAGGGAGCTCTCCCATTCCTGTGTGTATGAACTTACCAGTTGCTCCTGAAGTTGTGCTATACTTATTCTGCTTGAAGCTGCTGGTAGGGAGTAGTGGTTTGTGGATTGTTCTGCTCTGATTGTATCCAGACACTATGATTGTCAGAGGAAAGCACAGATTGCAAACCTCTGTGGAGAAGTAAATTTGAACAATTAATTTACTGTGGGGCACTAAGAATAATGACTTCAATGCAGATGTTAGTCCTAACCCCACTTTACCTGGAAATCCAACCCATGTTAAGCATAGAAGTTAGTGTGTTTTACAATGCTTTAACCTTATGTGTACTTGAGAACTTCCAGTGTGTTTCTCTGAGAACGTGTTTGCTGAGGCAACAGCAAAATGTGTGTGCTTGGATCTTGCAACAGATCTTTGTAACTGAGGCCTTGTGCATGAATCTTTCTGAAAGAAATTAGTTTGAACTTCATGTGAGGGATTAATGCTTCAAGAAGAGGAAAAAGAAGGCTTATGCTGTCTTGGTTTGAGGATTCTACTTCTGATTCAGATCTACTACTGATGATTAAAATGGATTATTGAGTTGAGATTGCATACTGGTTCCAATTTTAGCTTCTGCTGAGACTCAGCACTACATTCTCTCCTGCACTGAGGATTGTGCTAGAGGTATTCCTGTAGATCTGACCCATGGATGGCTGGATCTTGGATTGCAGAGGGAGCACTCACTACTTTCTGTTGCAGCTAAACCTTCAACATTTAAACATGATGTATCAATGGTAAAATCGTAATGCGTCAGGGGTGAAGCCATATAGTGATTTTACCTGGAAGCTTACGAACGTGAAACTCAAACAGTTATCTGATTTTAAATTGTATCTTGCAAATGTTCACCTTTCAGACTTAGGCTACCAAGTACCCTGTCCTAACAGATGGCACATTTATGGGTGGCATGCTTTAAACAATCTGAGCTGTTGCTCAGGGAAACTGCCAAAGCTAAGCAGGAGTTAGTAATCAAGCCAAATACTTGATTCACAAAGACTTTGCCTATGTTAACAGTTCGTATTTGCAATGACTTACACTATAGGTGTTTTACTGTCTTTTTGTTCAGGTACCTATGGTGTTGTGTATAAAGGTCGTCACAAAGTCACAGGCCAAGTGGTTGCAATGAAGAAAATACGTCTAGAAAGTGAAGAGGAAGGTGTTCCAAGTACTGCTATCCGAGAAATTTCTTTGTTAAAAGAGCTGAATCATCCCAATATAGTCCGGTATGCATATACTGGTATTTAGCTAAACTCTTTGAAGGGCACTAGGTTCTTTCAGATAAAGAATTTATTTTTCCACTGTTCTAGTGAAGTGAGAACCACTCGGCTTAATACAGTGTCTGTTTTGCAGCAAATGGTTATATTCCTGAATTCTGTGTTTATGCCAGTTTTCTCTTTAAGCCCTGCTCATGCTGCCTCTTCCCATTCTAGGAATCTAACAGATTTTTACGGATTTAGAAATTTATGGAAATTATTTTCAGAGAGGTTATGGTGAGAACGGAGGCAGAAAACCTCATGAAAACTGGCTGAAGCTGTTACTTCAGGCAGCCTCAGTTTTATTTGCCACCTTGGAATAGGAGATTTGACTTGCATGTGATCTGAGCCTGTCTTGAATCACTTCCCTGCTGTTCTGATTTACGTGTTGTGTTATGCTGCTGTCATAGCTGGCACATCTGAGCTAAGAGTGAAACTTCCATTGTAACTACTTGACATGTAAAAATTGATTGCAGCTATTGTCTTCCCCACCAAATATTTACTTGCTCTTTGATGCAGCAAAACACTTGATCTCCAGTGTGCCTTAAAACTGGCTAAGTTCCAGCCAGGTAGTGTGTATCCTGGGGTTTAGGAACTGTTAGTCTATTAGAGATGCAGATACTTAAACCCAGTGAATCTTCCTGTGTCTATCTACTAGGTTCCTATTATAATATTCCCTTAAAACCCTCCAAGTAATTCAGGCTCCGTTGTAATAATCCAGCTTCAAAGAGGAGCTAGGCACAAACACCCACAGGTGTGGGTTTTTTTAAAGCAACAGTAGTTTTTCCTCAGACTTCCTGTGTCTGATGTGAGGCATGAGGGAACATAAGTTTAAGAGGAAGCACATAGGTATTTATCTCAGTCTGGCACTATTTCAGATATATTTGTCATCCAGATGATGGTATAGCTCAGTCTGTTGGTTGAAGATTTTTTTAAGACTTCCATAATAGGAACCTGGAAATGTCAGCTTGTATCCCTGTTAAGAGGGGAAATGTAACTGAGTCCATGCATTTTGCAGTGAAGTTAATTGCATTCTCAATTTCTAGTCTTCAGGATGTTATTACACATGATTCAAGACTGTACCTGATTTTTGAGTTTCTTTCCATGGATCTCAAGAAATACTTGGATAGTATTCCATCTGGCCACTATTTGGAGCGTTCACGTGTTAAGGTAATGAGGACAATTTCTTAGTATAAAAGGGAGCTCTAAAGATGACCTACTAAGCTATAAGCCACTCTTATTTTCAGTATAATTAGCTCCTTGAGGAAAATGAGAGGTTAAATAAGCAGCTGTTGATAGTAAGATGAATGAGTTTTGCTCTCAAATGCCACTTCATACTCTTAATTACTGGGATTTAACTGCCTTAAAGTGATCTTAAGACTTAATTTGTGTGGCTTTTTGATTGATATTAATTCAGTATCTGCATTTGGATCTCCATTTTCTACTTGTATGAGGAGAACTGACTTAAGGGATCACCTTGTGTTGCAGAATGCTAACATGTACTAAAAGTAAATACTTTTTTCTCTCATCCCTTCTAGAGTTACCTCTACCAAATCTTGCAAGGTATTGTCTTCTGCCACTCAAGAAGAGTTCTGCACAGAGACTTGAAACCTCAGAATCTCTTGATAGATGATAAAGGGGTGATTAAACTAGCAGACTTTGGATTGGCTCGAGCCTTTGGAATTCCAGTGCGGGTCTACACTCATGAAGTGAGTTGGAGCTTACTTTGGGTGACTTAGATAATGCTTATTAGCTTCCTGCTAATAGCTGAATATGAAAAGGCTAAAAAAACCCAGTTTTTTAAAGTCATAAACTAACAAGATGATCAAAAAGTTGTATCTTGGTTTTGATTTATTCATTGGTTTTTCTTCTCTTGAACTGTGGTTTTACTCAAGCATCTTATGAATCCTCTATTACCTTGACAGTGAATCACATGAGCTGGAACTTGTTGCTCACTTGTATCATAAGGGCATTTTTGCTTCACAAAGCCACTCAAGTTTGAGGGTTTTAGTGGTTAGATGCTAAAGGCTTCCTGTGCTTTGGGAAGCAGTGTACTCAGCTGCTTTTCTTGCAGTAGAAATCTACTGCAATGGGGTTTGTTTGTATACAAATGAAGTTTGAAACTAGTATTTACACAGAAACTTCTAGCACCAGCTATTACTTTAACCAAAGAAACTGAATGTTTAATGACAGCTGAACCGTTGTGCTTGTAGTCAATTAGAGGACCTGACACAGACTTAAAATATTTTCATTGTTCAACAGGTAGTGACACTGTGGTACAGGTCTCCAGAGGTGTTGCTGGGATCATCTCGTTACTCTACTCCTGTAGATATGTGGAGCATAGGTACCATATTTGCTGAACTGGCAACTAAAAAGCCACTTTTCCATGGGGATTCAGAAATTGACCAGATCTTCAGAATCTTCAGGTACCTTTGGCTGAACCTTCCCTTGCTGCCTGTGTGGCATTGCACAACAGTCCTGTGCTTATTAAAAGTGTACTAGTGCATACAGGTTTCAGACTGAATTTCATGTTTTGCTTATGCTTGCACAGAGCTTTAGGGACACCCAACAATGAGGTATGGCCTGAAGTGGAATCCCTGCAAGACTATAAAAATACCTTCCCAAAATGGAAACCTGTCAGCCTTGAAACACACGTGAAAAACCTGGACGAAGACGGACTCGATTTGCTGGCTGTAAGTAGTCTTTTTTGAACTGCTGATTAAGAAACTGAACGGGTTGTTTCAAATACTCCAGAATACACAAAGCTGTACTCATTAGTCTTGGCTAGAAGAAAGATATGGAGGTCTTCAAACTATCAGCTGTGATATGAGCTCTCATTCTACAAGAAGGGAAACTGACAGTTTGTGTGACATTTGACCACTTTTTTCATAAATAACACCTGACTAGCAATTATGCCCAAGTTGTTTTGTACTAATAAGCCAGGTACAACTTGAAAGTGAGCATAAGCTTTTATAACCAGGCCTAAGTGAAGGTGCCTGCCCATAAACTAGCTGTCACCTTCCTGCTGCCAGTGCTAACTGTGGCGTGGCTCTATGACTGCTGGTTCAGTTGGAAATGTTTCTTTTATGGTAGCATGTGGATTAATCTTGGTGGGATAATCTTAGTTAAACTTTCATGATGGTCTTAAGTGAATAAAAAATGATGGAAACAGTGAACTGTATTGATTAGCTGTGAGACCAGATACTTTAGTTTAAGTCTGCCTGTAATGTCTGTCTCAATTGCCTTTAAATTTTGAGTTAAATATTTCTGGGTGTGGTGTATTAACTTTTAATTGGTATATTTTGTGTTTAGTTTCCTTTAGTTATGTGGCCATGCAGTTCAACTACCACTCTAGGCTTTTTGACAAGCTCTTCATCAGGCTTTTCCATTTAGTGCTCTTGCAGCTCATGTGCTGCCATTGCAGACTAATTTAGGTCACATCTTGAGTGTGCTCTTGGATGTACTGAAGTGTAATCCCTTGGCTGTCCTTTGGCTGTTCTAAAGCTGCAGTTTTACACTGCAGACTTATATACTGGGGTTGTGGAGTGGGTGCTCTTGTGTGGCTTAAGATAAGCAGACACTTCAGAACCACCTTGGTACAAGAGCAACTTCATACAACCATTACCTGTGTAGCTGGCTAATGGTTTTAAGGAGCCCCAAAGTAGTTTCTGACCCATATTAGTACTGTTATGGCAAAATACTCTGAAGGAAGCAGTGTTACCCAGTAAGTTCTAGTGACCACAATTTCTCAAAGTTTTTCTTTGGGAACAGAGCCCCAGTTCACACTGACAGCCCTAATGTTTGATATACATGTAGCTGTCTTAGATAGCCCATAACCTTGCAGCAGCATTGTCTTCTAGAGATAACTGACTTAAGCAGACACATTTCCTCTGTGACCACTGACAGCATCGTTATTAAATCAGTTTGAAATAGAATTGTTACTGATTGTATTTACCAACTAAAATCAAGATAATCTTGTTCATTATGTGAAACTGACCTGCTAAGCACTCAGCTTAGGTGTGGCTCCACCATGTAAAACCAGTGTTTGGAGCTCCTGCTAATAAAGACAAAAAAAATTACTAGCTCTTCGTGGTGCTAACACAATACCAGACTCAAAGCATATTAAATTTTCTAACATATTTTCTAGTTTTGCCTTAATTCAATAAATGTTGACATTTTAATTTCCTATTACTGCCTGGTGACCGTGGTATTCCTGAACTTTTTGATTGCTTTCAAGTTCTTCCTATGGAACTTTTAAGCATAAAGCAGTAATATAGCTTTGAAGGCAGCAAAACTGAATAGTTTGTTCTAGAGCACAGGCTCATATTTGTCAGTGAAAATGTTGGGGTTTTTTTCTATAAACTCTTGCAGATGGAATTAGTGTGTAAAGTAGCTGTCTTTGAAAACTCTTAGGTGTTTTTGTGTTAAGACCAGTTGTTGGGGTGAGGTGGTAAATTTAAGACCTTCTAAGCTAAATCATTTCTGTGGCATCATTTCAATGCACTTAATGGCTGTCATCAAAAGCTCAGTATTATCAAGACAATAAGTTCCAGGAAAACTACTCCAGACTGCTCAGAGCAGAAATGGTCACTTAATCTATTAGCTACAGTGTTGTAGTCTCAGTGTCATAGCATCCTTATTTCAGAGAAATTTACCTCCGAGAGTCAATTTTAAGAGAACCTTTATCAGTATTAACCATAGGCCACTTCTGGGGTACAGCTAACAGGAACCTGTCTCAAGGTACCATTGGATGTGGGAGGTTAAATCTAGAGGCAGTGTGCATTTGGCAGGATTCTGAGAACATAAATGCAAATTCAGCTGTTTAAATCAACTTGGAAGACTTTGTGTAGGATGCAGTGTAAAAGATAGTTAAATGCCAAGACTGAATCCTGGGCAGAGTAATACTATTTTAAGGTTTTTTTGGAAGGCAAATTTGCTGTGGGGATGGGGGAGAGGCAGCAGGTAAATCCTGATTGCTGGAATGGTCTGTCCTTTAGTAAGGAGAAATAAAAAGACTTTGCAGAGACTTTGCTAGTTTTGTGTCTAGTAAAAAACTTCTGAATGCTTCGTTTGTTTTTGGCTCCTTGTATGGTATAAACAGCAGATGCAAAACAACTATCTCACCTGTTCTAGAAAGTTCTGGGGGCTATTTTAGTGGTTATAACACCTCTTTTTGCTCTCATCACCTTTATGGAGCTATCCAGTTGAAGTAACTTATTGCAAGGAAACTCAAGTTTTAACTCTTTCAGTTCTTCTGCTTCTCATATACTTTCCTGTTTGGATTTTGAAGCTGAGTGATCCTTCTTAAATTTTAACTGTAAAGTGCTGCACCAAGCTGAGTAGAAGCAATTTGATGTGACTTTGTTCTATATCAGTAATGAAATAAGTGTAAGATCACATGTCCTTGTAAACATTTTGGGCTTTAACAGCCTAAAGCTTATTAATTTCCCTTAGTAAGAAGCTGAGACTAATATTGCCACTGGATGTGTAGTTCTGGTTTTAGTTCAGTACATGTGGTACCTAGATGCAGGCAAAGGCTTGGTTACTGAACAGGAAAGTAAATGTCATTCTTTACTTTGGGATGTTAAGCACTGCTGCTGATCTACTTCTGACTTGTACAGGGAAATAACCTTTCCACCTATGAGAAATCATGGAACACTGGGAAAACGTGTCTTTATGGTTATTTGACTATTACTGTGATTAAATATCTACCTATTTAATGTTATTTTAGTTCACATTTCATGAGGGAGTAAATGTGTTTCTTTTTTTTTCTTCCAGAAAATGTTAATTTATGATCCTGCAAAAAGAATTTCTGGCAAAAAGGCCTTGAACCATCCATATTTTGATGACTTGGACAAATCTACTCTTCCTGCTAACCTGATTAAGACATACTAGGCCTTTTGACTAAATCATCCAGATTGAAATAATTGTGGTGACTTAAATCTGTCTGTAATTTGTATGTCTGTCTGTCTGCTCTGAAACTGTCTCTGTATTCAGTTTCTCATTTGAGTGTTACCTAAATGTAAATATTAACCTTTTAGCACCGAGTTCAAACACAATGCAAATATTGCTGCAATTAATGCAGTCAACTTTCTATAAATAAAGCTTTAAGCCTGGTGAAGGACTGAGTTTTTCTGGACTATGGCTGTTCTATGAAAGGCACTAGTAAGGTAGTAATGCTGGGCTGAAAAAGAGCTGCTAATCTAAGCTACTGAATTGCTGTTCTTGACATGAAAGAGAATTCATCTCAAGATTGATTTGTTTCAGTATAAAGTATATACAGTTTTACTTGAGCATGGCAATCAATGTGCCAAAGGACATGTACATTGAGATACATTGAAGAACTGCAACTTGCTATTTAAACAGATGGCCAAGCTAATTTTAGGGTTGATTTTTTTTTTTTTTTGAAGGTAGTTGCAAATGAGTGTTTGAGAAATCCCTGTGCTCTTTGCTTTTCTGTTATCTTGAAGGCCCAATAATTTGGTTAGATGTAGGCATGTTAACTCTGGACACATTAAGGTATTTTAGCTTAAATTTGACATGGATTTTCTCTATACCAGTGTGTAACTGCCCAACAGGGCCCTTCCAACTGCTACTAGTAATACATTTCTTCTTTAATGAGGATCAGAGGAGAACCCCCTGGATTATGGAATAATCAAGCAAATGTTGACTTAACATGACTGCTAGGAACTGTAGTCACAGACTGAGAATGCTACATGGCTATAGACTTTCTCATGATTAAAGCAGGAACTTTTTGAAGCTCTACAGCATTTCACTGAACAGCTGAGAGTATTGAAGAAGTTCAAACGAAATCCAAAGATATGTGCTAATAATTGATTCTGTTCTCCAATTACTACCTCTATTGGCTTTCAGACACATCTGTAAGGATGGTGGGTGCATCTATCTTGGTCTTACTGCATCTAAGCACTATAGTGCTCCTTTTCTTGCTGGTTAAGGGGCCAAAGCTTGCAGCACAGTGTGGAACAGTATTGAAAGTATTTAAATTTCTAAACCAGGTGTGTGAAAGGAATAAAATCAACTCAAACAGAGGGGTTTGTAGGAGCCCTGTCCTACAGCTGCTGAAGAGTGGCACTGAAGCAGTGGAGATGATGACATCCAGAGCATGAGATGCTCATTTTGTCTATTGATGAGTAGCTGAAAGTATTAGTGTTAGACCTAGGTTTTGTTAACAACTAGCATAGTTAGATGTAAATACTCCTTGGTGTTAGCATTGTTCTATGCAGAGTGAGTCTTAATCTCCAGAAGCATCTGGGTACTGTTGGGTTCATGGAATCATTTGATAGCAGAGTGCCAAGGAGAAGTGTTTCGAAATTACTTATACAGAGAGTTACTTAATTGAGGGCAGTGGGGAAGAAGATTGCGAAGGCTGAATTTGTTAACATCAGTGGTAGGATGCAATTTCAAGACAAATTAGACTAGGGACCTAATTTGTCAGCTTTTGAGTGTAGTAACTTGATATGGGCTTTACAAGCCAAGGGGTTATATTGCTGGTGCTAGTTGGTTACCTTGGTGTAGAAAAAGAGGAGAACCTGCCAGCAGCTGCTCTAAAAATCAGAGGCTAGTGGGCAGACTAAGTTCTTTGTGTGGAAAAAGACTTCTGCTAAACAAACTAAATTTGCTTTGTTGCTTGTAATAATGGTAATTTTTTTTCCACATAAGTAACTGATGTCTGTCTCAGTTTCATGTGATATGGTGAACACTTTAGCCTATCTTAACTGACAAACTAAAGTGCTAAAATTTCTAAAGAAAGCTTCTTTTCAAACATCAACTTACTACAAATCTGCAATATTTCTTGTTTACCCAGGCACTGTTACAACAGGTGGTATAGCATCATTGTAGCTCTGAATTGATCTATTATAGTGCTCCTACAAATAGGAGGGAGAAAGGAATGTAACACTGTCCATCTGTGCCTAAGGTCAGATCAGGTGGAGAATATCATACCCAGGGACATGAGTCACTAACAGGTCCATTCTGAAATACAGTCCCAAGTTATCCATGAGGCAAATCACTTCCCTTAGGGAAAAATACATCATCTACCCTTTGCAGCTGCTCCTCCTGTCTGTACCTCGTGTGTGGAAGGTTTGTGATGTTCAAGTTTTGGCCATCTAAAACCAAGAAAACTGTGAGAATGGGAAGTGCCTTGCACTTTGGGGATTTAATCCACTGTGGGGGATAATTAGAGCTATTTATTGATACCCATTGCAGTGGTTTCTTAAATGTAAGAACTGGGGCTGGAATGACTTGATTTAAAAGCAGCCTACTCTTATTTGAAATAAAGTTCCACAATGTTGCCTTGGTATGTTTTCTGCTGGAGCAGGCGCTGACAAACTTGGTGTTTTACCTGCATGTTCTCCATCCCATTAAAAAGTAGTGTAGGTGAAAAAGGTTGTTGTATACAAGAATAGGATTTTACACAAGAACAACTCAGGGGGTTGGTTTGCTTTTTTTAAAGTTCCCAAGTGCCAGTAAGCTTTTCTAAACAGCCAACCACCTACCACATACTTGTAGATCAGGCTCAGCTGCTTTCATTTTCCTCAGACATAATTCAGTTCAGTGAGAATTTATTACCATCTGCTGCTTTTGAAATAAGTGGTTCTTAAAAAATAGATTTTACAGGGAACTAAGAAAAGGAAGAACTTTACCTTCTAAATCTTGCAATGGGATAAATACTGTAAAAGGTGGTGTAAAAGAAACCTGTAGGTCTTTGTGTTCTGGGGCAGCTGTTGGAATGGGAGGTGATCCTTCCTTGTTGAGGGACCCCAAAGCCTGAGACAGCTGCTGTGGCACAACAAATACCGA